CAAAATATATTTGTATAAATTTTATATTATTTTTCATAATTTCAAATAAAATAGTAATAACAATAATAATAATATAATTAAAATTATAAAATTTTAAAATATTTTATAATATGCTAAATATTACATGCCTTGGCACTAAATAATTTGGCACCGCAATAGGACCATTTTCGGGCACAATTTAAATAAATGCGAACACAGTCCAATACTAATCTCCCTTTCAACTGTTTCCACTTCTCACGAATGTTGTCAATCACTTGCCTAAAAGCATAAATATGATATATTTAATTTAAGTTTATGTAAATAATTAATAAACATTAATTTATAAAAAAAAATTAATATAATTTTAAATTTATACAAATTTAACATTATAATATCTCAATATCCATTCATAAAAATAAAACCTGTTAAGGATTATAAAAAAAATTGAGAAATCAAATGAATTTCTTATTTATCACAAATAATACATAGCCATGTTTAAAGCTTCTAGGTATGAGAAAAGCATATGACATGCAGTATTATATTTTGTTACATTTAATACGTGTGCCAATTTGCAAGAAAACAAGATATTGTTTTCTTGCAAATTCCTGCCATTGTAGAAAGTGGAAAATGTATCTAGTGCAATATGTTGGTCATCTGCAATAGAATTGACTTAGAAGCATTTTTAGACAATGATTTTTTATGATTTTAAATTAAATTTAATGAAAGTTCAATCAATTCAGAATTTATAAGACACTTTTTCAGATTCTGCTATGTCTGATAAGCAAGTGGTTTTGTGATTTGTTAAGTTTTGACATGGTATTTATTTTGATTATATTAATAAACAAAATTTGAAGATAATTTTAAATTTAAGTCAAATAATAATTGTATCATATGAATTTCAATTATTATTATTATGTTGAGTTTTGTGAGTTATACTTGGTTCACACCGGTGGCTGTGTACCTGTGTACTATGCCAGACCAAAGTCAAGGCATAGCAACCAAAATAAAACTAAAATTATTATTATTATTATTTCTACTGTAATTTAATTTTAAAATAAAAAGAAGATTGAAAATATATTATTTAAAGAAAATACATAAACTTTTTACGTGTATTTTTATGAAACATCTAGAAGATGTAAATTTATGAAGAAACAGCTTTTGTAATTCTGTTAAAAATGAATTTTTTTAAACATAATTATAAATAAAACAATATCTGAAGAAAAAAATTAATATCCTACAATAATATGGATTTTAAAAAATTTTAATCAACTTTTTAAAAATATATTCTTAGGATATTAATTGAGATAAGATTGTTTTTTGTTAACAAATGACTCAGATAAAAATCAATAAATCAATTGAGCCATTAATCATATCATCATTGAAAGTTTAAAAGCAATATTAAAGATTGTAAACCAATATAAAATAGTGGAATGTCGAAAGAACGATGACATGACTTAAATAAATTTTATCATTTACATTTATAAAATAAAATAAAATAAAAATAATACAAAATGTTACTTATCATATTTAATTTTCTTATACAAATTACAGAGTACTAAATTATTATTCATTAATAAACATAAATTTATTTCATAAATTTCCAAAAAAATTTTTAGAGTTCAACATAATTTTAAATACTTATAAATCAATTATGTGTATACCATATAATTAACTCAAAATACATCTAACACATTAGATGTATTTTAAGTTAATTGTAAGTAGTACTTCCAGTTTCTTACAGTAATTAATATGTGTATATTATTTCAGGAAAATAATTACATATTCATATATACCTGTATTTGCATTAAATTTCTTAAAAACATTATTTAGAACTTCTTCCCAATCATAAATTATACAATCAAATTCATCTTGGCAATCTGACCAGACAGTATTGTGTAACTCAAAGTCTAGAACAATATAACATTCATAAAACAAAAAGCCAGAGATACTGACCTATATCAAGGACAATTTTATTGTTTCTTCAAGATCAAATGTAATTCAAAACATTATGATATTAATAATTTCTGTTTATTTGTATGTACAGTACAAATAAAAATCATACATGGGCTACTATAAATTTTTTTTTAATGTAAATNGAATGAAGGACCAAGTGATAAAACAAAAGTCAGGAAGTACTCGGGGTTTTTGTGTTGATGTATCCTAGGGTAAGACACCATGTTCAAGTCTCTTCTCCTTTTCTTAAATTCTTTTAATCTTTTGGCCGTAGACCTCCTTGTCTCTTACTAGTCTTGATATTCTATTGAACGTTCGCTGTTCTGTGACTTCTTTCTCTGATCCCTCAGCACCTTGCCGTCCCTCCTCGTTCTATTCTTTTTTTGAATTTTCTTTACTCTATTTTTGCCTTTGGGAGCACTGCCTTCTCTGTGCCTTTCTCCTTGAGATCCATCCTCTGACTGACTTCTCCCCGGTTGTTTTGCCTCCAGGCTTCACACCCTCTTTTGTTTTCATATGTTCCAGGAGTTGGTAGTCTTACCCCCAATAGAGAAGGGTTAAGAGAGAATGTTCTAGAAACAATTTTTGAACAAAGAAATAGGAAGGAACTTAAAACTAATTCAAATTAAAATATACAAAAATATACAACAAACATGGCTGATGGCCACAAATCATTCTTGGCATTGTATTAGATGCCTGACAATTTCTAACAATTGATTATTTTCTCTGTTTTCTAGAATTGCTAGAGAATAACACTGATCATCCATTCTTTTACTCTGAAATTGACTTAATAGATCAAAGAAAGACTCTTCATTTAATGAACTTTCACATACTTGATTCTGTTTATCTTTAACAGCATTTGATACACTGGAATAAGATATACTGATTTGAAATTCTAAACTTAAACTGCTTTCAATTCTACTTAGTTTTTACTTGATGTTGATTGTTTCTTTAACAGATGGTAAATCATGGCACCACTTTTGCTAGCACTTTTGATATTATCTTTGGAAGATGCTTTAGCATCAGGAATTATTTTCAATAAATCTATGTTTTCCACAAATAGCACCCAAAACTAGTATTAACAACAAATAATATATATTGGCACCCAAAACCAGCAAATAAACTCCAACACTTTACTCAAACAGATATCATCAGGTTACAACTGTCAAATATAAAATGACACCAATGTCATTTGTTTTTAAACTTACATTGTTCTATTTTTTAAATGTTGGTTCCATTCTGTATTCAACAGTTTAGAAATGAAGGAAGATGTTCATTTGAGTAAAGTATTGAGGTTTATTTGCTGGTTTTGGTGTCATTGTAGGTTATTTCCATGTTTTCCTTACTAATTCTTCTTATTCTGTTATTTTCAAAATTACAATTTTCAGTATCTGGTAAAATGCTTTCTAATTCAATTATTTTCTACAAATCTCAAATACTCATCTGGCAATCAATTCTCCAATTTTGTGTTCAATTTCTTTGAATATTTCCAAATAATTTTAGCAGATTTGAAAACTTTGTGACATCTTCTGATTGCCAAATGTGCATTATTAAGATTATGATGAGCTCTTGTCTTGAATGATATTCTCTTCTTCACGATAATGCCAAAGATATTGAATACACATTTTCCAAACTGTAGCAAGTTTGAGCTGTTGACAGCAGCAAGATTTTAGAGATGAGACATAGTCTCGTCAATTATTGTGTCATATGCCAACACACAAAGTTCTCTTAACTGATATCATTATATATATATATAGACAAAGAATAATTATCAGAAATTTATCAGCTTTTAAGATAAAAACTCAAATAGTCACGTCTGATAATAATTAAAACATGAAGTGAATGTACAGTACAGTATAGTAAATAAATGGGGTAGGACTAAAGAAGTATGCATATATGTGTCTTTAGTAGTTTTGAGAAAAACTGTGATAACAATGACTATGTCTGTGGTACACACAGATTTTTCACATTTTCTAATGACACTTTTAATGACTTTTATATAAAGGAAGATTATTTAATGAGTTTACAATTTAAAACTGGCATATCATCTGTATTTGTTTTCAAAAATTGTCTTTTAAACACAGATAACCCATTGTTATCTGCACAAAATTATAGTAAATAAAAGTATATATTTATACTGTCTTACACTTTAAAGTTATTTTGAATTCAAATTTTATTACTGTAATTTTTATTTGAATTCTTTATTTGGTCATAATAATAATATAGCCAGGGACTGTAATTAATACCATAATCATGTATAAATTTCAGAACTTCTTTAGATTGTTCTAAATTCTGCCCTTATCATACACATTATTTCTGTAAAAAAATATTGATTATTTAAAAAACTAATGGGGTTTTGTAAAGTGTTCATCAATTTTTTAAACAAATACTGTATATATCTTTAATGAACAACCAACCTAAGTAAAGTCTCTAGCCCTGAGAATGTCCACTAACAGGTTTATAATATTTTATATCAGACACTTGATCAATGAAATATTGTAGTGACTGTAGGAAGAAATATAATCTTTGGTTTCTGGACAATATTGGTGTATCATTGGAAAATGATCATTACTTCAAGACTTAATAAACTGACAGAGCAAAATTTTCAGATCTTTTGGATTATCTCCCTCCATTAATATCTAGAAATCAAAAACTATGATTACAAACAGAAGTTCATACAGCAATAAACATATCTTCAAGATTAATTACATTTATATACAAGAGGTTGATAAATTTTGTTATCTAGGAAACTTACTCCAGAGAATAATGGTAAATCTTAATTCAATATCAGAGCAAGAATTGCAAAAGCAACATTTACACTTCGAAGATTCAAATATCTATGTACTGACAACAAAATTTTTAAACATGACTATGTCTTGCAGATTGTTTGATAATTCCATTATTTTATACAATTGTGAATGTGTCATTCAAAGCTGGAATTTATTGTAATATTCATCAATATTATACCTTCTGTATGTCTTTCAGCAATATTTATTAGAAACAAACATTTTTGGTCTAGTTCAAGCCCATAAACCCCTGCATATGTCCCTGTATCAGGCAAAAATGTCAGGAAAGATCCAAATAAATTGTAACTTATATGGTCCTTTAGTCTATAACATCAGTTTCACTGGCTTGAAGATGCAAAAACCAGAAAAAAGAGAGGAACTTTGCTAGAGATCCTAAGAGCCCAAGGTTCTTTCAAAGAACAAGTGGTGAAAAAGAATTTACATAAAAGATGTATGAATAGAGAAGAAATTAACATTATCTATTAATTATGAACTATGTATATTATGAATTATCTATACAGTATTTTTACTAAAATTAGA